TGTCTCCAAAACCAAACCAGAAAATGACCAAGTCAAGCCGCCTGAGGCGAAACCTTAAAGCATGCTGTACTTTGCTAAATTTTGGACAGTCTGCAAAGCTTCTGCCTCAAGGGGTAATTTGTAGTCTAATTGTGAGACAAGCCCACTTTGCAGTAGCGTGGGACAACTCCCCAGCAGCAGCACAAAGGGATGAAGTGGAGTTGATACCATTCACTCTGCACACTGACTTTACAGCGATGGTGCCAACATGCTTCCTTTAACTTCTAAAATAAAGTTGCCTTCACATTGCTTCCCAGTTATTCTTACAGCCTGGAGGCAGCAAACCATAAAAACCTTGAAAAGCTCCAGCTCCACAGCCTCTCTCCATTAATACCCTGGCATTCCTTTGGCTCCAGACCCTGCATCAGCTCCTGGAGCTTTTTGCTTCTGAGGGGGAGGATATCCCTGTTTCTTGCTCGATCCCCCCCCATCGAGACCCACTATTTTGGAGGTCCCTCAGCCTGGAGCTGTTTCTCTGCCCAGCCACGGGCTGAGCACTGGCTCTACTCATACATCTCATCATCCAAAAGACCCATTTGAAAAAAATCTTCAACCAGTGCTGGAAACTACTCTGGACAATGAGAAAATCCCAGTGCGTGTACGTAACAGTGCCATTCCCATTGCACTGCCTGGTCCCAGTTGAGTTACAGACCAAACAAGGACAGCCGAAACCCTAGCTCGTAAAACCCCTGGGAGCAGCCTACAAGAGCAGAAAGGCTCCCAAAATCCCAAACGTCCTGTTCAGCATCTTCATGGAGGACCTGGGACAGGCAGCGGAGAACACCATGGAGGAGATGGATGGCCATCACCTGGGTGGAGGACACCACACTATGGGGTGCTGCTGATGCAGTTGAGGGCAGGGCTGCTGCTTGGAGGGACACAGAGAGGACACATGCCACATTCTGCACCTAGGATGGACTAAAGCCCTGCAGGGTACTGGTGAGGACTTGTTCTTCCTGTGATATCACTGTCCTGAATCGTGTGATTTTCACTGACAAAAAGGAAAAAATCATAATTCTTCTCCCTAACACTGTGTAAATCTTTTGGCTTGCAGCAAGTTAATATTCAGCTCGGTAAGGGATGGGCAGGGTGCTTTTCATCCCAATGCCACGACAGCGCAGCTCAGGACCCCTCCGGTTTAATCCCAGAAGTCAACACAAAGCACCACAAAAATAAACATCCTCTAGGATGCCATATTTCTTTGCTTAAAGTAAGCAAACTCAAAGCTTTCAGATGCCTCATCCTTCTCCTGCTTAAGTTCAGAGTCAGGCCTTTTACTGCAGACTCTTGCACTTAGCTGGGTCTTCAGCTTCTTGGAGACACATCTCTGGTTGCTGTTTGTCTTCCAGGACATGTCACCGAGATGCACAGTTCTGCTGCCATTTACACGGGCGAACACCTCTATTAATTTTCGCCACTATAAGCCTTATATTAAGTGATATCAACCTGCACCCAAACCACCCGGGTCACTGCAGACCCGAAACAGCACCTCGTGTTCACAGGAGGCAGCGAGGATCTGGGAAGCCCTGAATGCACGGCTGTCCCCCTAGCATCACGGGACAAGGGAGGTCCTCCTCGTCCTCCCTCCTCTCTGTCTGCTTATTCCTCTTTCCATCACACCTACGTGAGACCAGCACAACCTAAAAATCCTGGCAGGGACATCCAGGAGGGAGAGCAGCAGTTTTGGGCCACCGTTCCCTCCCTCGCTCCCCCCGCTGCTGTGCAGGATCCTGCCAGGTTTCCCTTTTCCCTCCTCCCCCCGTCCCAGTTTCCCGGCCAGCTCCAGAGGTTTTCAGAGGAGGTTTCCCATCTGCCTGCTGAAACAGCAAGAAGGGGGCCCCTTCCCCGGTGAAACAGATGTGACTGGCCTTTGTGCAACATCTGTGCCTCCTGCTCCCCTTCATTTTGAACAGTCTTGCCTTTGTTTGCGAAGGGTTGTGCAGGGGATGCTTTGGAGGAGGGCAGCAGCCCACGGGCTGGACTCCTTCCCTTTGGGTCCCACACACAAACCGCCTCAAAATGTCTGAGTTTCTTCTGGTGAAAAAAACAATACGCTTTGTTCCCCGCGACGTTGGGGAACGGACAGTCCTGCTCCTCAGAGCTTGGGTTCCAGTCGCTGCAAGTGGCTCACGCTAAGGATTCCTGTGGGATTCCCCAACCCAGGGGAAGTAAGAGCAGGAACCTGGGAGCCACCACTGATCCCCTTCCTCACCACCCCCCCTTGACTGAGAGCAGAAGTGCTAGAAAGCCACATCTTATTTGTTCTGGGCTGCATTTAATATGGGGAGGAACACATTAAAACAAAATCAAATCGTATTTCCGTCTCTCTCTTGATGAGTTTACCAACCTACTGACGGGTGCCTGAAAAGCTGCTAGAGCTTTCTTACACATTTTGGCACTCGGTCTCATTTTATTTATCCTGCTGGGGCTCACGTTTTATCTATATTTTGGAGAGGGGAGGATTTTGACCCACTTATTTCAATTTTCATTTCTGCCTGGCAGACCAGCACTGGGGAAGAGGAGCCCTTGCTCGGTGCCCGACGAGCACTGGCAGAACCCCCTCCAGGGATGCTGGCAGGGGCAGAGCCACATTTCCGCCTTGGCTCTTCAGCAGAGGTTGCCCAAATCAGCCGGCTGGGTTTCCCCGAGCTGGCTGTCAGGTTTTTTTCCCTTCCTGGAGAGCGGGAAAATGCATTCGTGGGATTCCAACGGGGAGGGAAGAGGAGGACAGCAAGGCCTTTCAGCCCTGCAGGCTTTCTTCAAAACAGAATTGTTCACACAAGCCCTGGTCTCAGTCGCGGAAAGGCAGCCCGCCTCTTCCTCCGTTTAAGCCATCCCTTTTTAAAGGGAGAAAAAAAAAGGTGGAAGAAAGCTGGTGGCTGCTTGGCTCTGAGTGCTGCCCGTGTCCTGCAGACCCCATCCCAGGGAAAGCCTGCCGGCAGCCTCCTGCTCCTCTGTCTTCCAGCAAACCCCACGGAGCGAGTCAGCACATGGCAAGAGCACCAGCGTGACCCAACTCTCAGAAAAAATGGCTTTTCCTTCAGGGCAAGAGAAATAGCTGCAGGCAGACCAGAGTTACTGAGCATCTGAAACAGAAGGGGTAACCAGGGCATCCTCTATGCTGGAGGATTAATAAAGTGTAATCGGTCCCTCCTATTTAGACTGCCTCGTACTAGGAGAGCGATGGAGCAGTTGGAAATTACTCGCTGGCAGGTTTTGAAAGCAGAAGAAAGAAGATGTTTCTGCAGTGCAGTCATCCCCCAGCCCTCGCTGCTCCGGCAGGTCGGGCACGCACCCGACACACAGCCAGCTGCAGGCGCGCTCCGTGCTGACCCCGGAGCCCACAGCTGGGATCCCTCCCGCTTTCTGCAAGCAGCCACCTTCCTGGTGGTTTTAAAAGAAGTCAAAATTCGGCTTACGTATCTCGCTTAGGGTTTTGCTGCAAATGAAGCAACAAGGCAATCAGTTTAGGGCACAGCTGGAATTTATTCCTCTCGCCCATCACTGCCCTGCCTGCAGGTGAGTGGTGCCCAGAGCAAACCCAGATTAGGGGTGACATCAAAGTAATCAATGTGGGAGCTCACAAAGGAGAAAGGGCTGCAGAACCATACCTTCCCTTGCCAAGGCAAAATTGAAATCCTGGCAAAAACTGAATACCCCGCTGTCGCAGGGGAGACCACACCAGGGACCTGGCACAGGCTATATGCTCTTTGAAAGGCTTCATAGTGAAGGCTCATAGAGGAAAACGTTACTGTGGACGAAAGGCTGGTGCTGGGAGAGCAGCCCTGCTTTTTTCTTTGACAAGGAGGAATTATTTCCAGCCCCAAAACGGGTGACAAAAGTCCCAGTCTTGTCTGGTTTCTTCTTGCTGATGAAGCTCATAAATTAAGAAACTCGAAAGAGCCTATGCAAGTTGTAGGATGGAAACTATAAAGCACAACATCAGTGTCCCCCATACACACACACACTCACTCACTCTGGAAGGTGAAAGCTGGCACAGTCTTAACTGCTTCCAGAGATGCTCTGAGTCACAACCACACTCTCGAGGACATCAAAACATTTCAGCAACGCAAGTGACACCAAAGCACCAGTTTCTGGCAACAGCAGCGGGCGTCTCCTCAGCTCATCCATCACACGTGTTTGCAATCCCTGCCCGACACCAGCTTTGCAAGGTCTGAGATTCAGCCCCCTTACCCCACTGTGACCCCCCCCAGCATGACGTCCCTGCTGTCCCCCAGTGGGACAGCGGTGACAGGGAGGCGTGGGGACCCCGTCCCAGCTCAGCTGGCTCCTGCTTGCTTGGATGGGTCTGGAAGCCAGCTGACAAAGGATGTCTCAAACTTAAGTGCTAAAACCAGACGACACGAAAAATCACCCTAAGGTTTGAAATGTGCTGTGGATGTGGGGAAACCTGCTACCGCAGGGGAAACACGCCGTTTCCCCCGAGGGAGGCATTTTCCCTTCCCAAACTGGCCGTTTTGGTGACTCTGCTGAAAACCCTACACTTTGGGAGGACCAAACGGAAAGCACGGAGGGTCTCTGTGCTCTCCAAGCCTATCTGCACTTTGCTGCCTTCACCCCACACTCTTCACCTGCCTGAAGCCACTGGGCTCTTAAAAAAGGTAGATTTTGGCTGAGGAAGCTTAATCTCCTCCCTGCCTGACAGCAGTGCCTTTAGCTACAGCAGCCCCAGGCACTGTCTTTACAGGCATCCTTCTATCTGCTTTGGCCATCAAAGCAGATATAGTGCTAGTGGTATAAAGGACAGACACATGCCGGAGCAGGTCTGTGCCTCGCTTGCCTCACCATGCCCCAAGCCCTCAAGGGTCCCGCTGGACTTGCCTCCAGGGTGGAGACAGCCAGGACATGGCTTCACACCTCGTCCCATGGGGTTGGTGCCCCTGAGCAGACCCAGCATCACTTCCCGTCACCGTCTCAGCAAGGAGACCTTCAAAACCTACCATGTCTCGTCGTACCAGCCAATGCGCTCCTACTTCTGTGCTTCACCACCCACGGGCGATGTGGCATGGGGTCACCTCCTGAGCTGGGTGCTGGCTGCCTTCCACACAACACCAGGAACCCACACAAAATACAAAAAAAAATTTAAAAGTAGCCACAATAAAAAAAAAAAAAAAATCTTCCAGCGACTATTCACAGCCAGGGGCTGTCACCCAGGGATGCTCCTCTGCAGTCCCTCACTCCTCATTGCCGGGGGCTGCTGGGTCCCTGCCACGGCACACGGGTGGGTGTCTCCGGTCCCCCCCGCGGGCGGGAAGACACTCTTCAAACTTCAGCTGCGAGTTTTCAAACTCTGCCTCATCCCAGACCCACCTCCCTGTGGGGAGGGGAGCGGAGAGGCTGGGAAGGGGGGAACAGGCATTTGAAGAGTCTCTTTTTCACAATAAAAGCCCTTCTTGCTGCTTTTTTTTTTTCTTTTTTTTTAATACCACAGGCCCGATTGGAGCCGGGAGGCACAGGTAAAGGAGGCTGAAGACACACGGGCTCCTCCCAAGTACATTTGCTCCCAGTTATCTTGGTGCTGGACAAGCAGAAGGACAGGGAGAGCCCCAGGGACCACGTCCGCCCCGGAGCAGGGAAAGCCAACCCCTCGTTTCCTCACTGGTGCCTGAGAAAATGCTGTTTGAGGGTTTTTATTAACATTGCTTTCCCTTTCGGAACCAGCCCAGCACAGAGCCGTGCCACATCCCTGCCTGGGGCAGACACAGCCCTGGGAGAAGATTTCTTACCCGCTTAAAAGGGCACTAACTTATTAAAACCATTTTTAGGGTGGTGCTTCAGGTACCCACTTTCCCAAGGCACCCAGGGTGGGCAGTGCCTGCAGGCAGCCAGGAGAGGGGTGATCCTGGGGGTCTGGGGGAAGGACACCCTCCCACCCACCCACACCACACGGCAGGTCTACAGCACGGGGAGCCCTGCGGTGCCCGGCCAGGGCAGCTCTGCCCATTGCCTGCTTCTGGGGTGCATCCCAAAGGCCATTTCCCCAGGGCTACGGGAGGAGGAAGAGGTTGGAGGCATCGCTTTGGAAAGCAACATGTTCCACCAGCCCTCCACATCCCAGCAGGGCACACGGGCAGCAGATGCCAGGCTGCAAAGTATATTTTTTCTCCCCTCATAAAACTTTTCCCTGACAGCCCTGGGCTATGGCCAAGCAAAACCCATCAGTCCCCCACCATGTCTCCATGTCAGGAGATGCTGTCACCTGCCCCAGACCCATGCTGGCTCCAACCTCTGGCAGCCTGGCTTGGGGACAGGAGGAAACCCTCTGTCTCAGGCGTGTGGGGGCATTTGACCTGTGGAACGACTTCAGCCAGGAAACTGTAACTCAAATGGGGCTGATCAGCATTATTCTTTACATTTTTAGAAGTCAGACAAAGGCACAGTAGAAACTTGTGTGAGGGACACTGAAGAGATGGCAGTCTGAAAAGAGAAGAGGATCAGGGACACTCCAACAATTCCATGTTTCTATGGCCCTGCGTGGTCCCACAGTGACATTTCACAGGGCCATGTGAAGCACTGGGTGTAAGCAGCGATAACAACTCAATGCTCTCCCCAGCTCTGGCTTCTGCTAGTCCTGGCACCCCAGTACCTTCACACCCCCTTGGCTCATCCAGTGCATTTTATTTTTAATATGGTGTGTCTCCCAGAGCCTCTCATTGCTACTCCAAACTATAGTTAAGAAACGCAGTGGATTAAAGGTTACACACAAAAGCAGTGAGTTTGATTTTGGCTGCACCAGCCTTGGGTGGGGGAAAGGGGTGAGGAAACCAAGCCCCAAGCCCACCACCATTGCTGCCACCAAGCTCACTGACCCCCCTGTCCATCCTGGGCACCGCAGCGTTGGACTGACACATCACAACCTCGAGGGCAGTTAATAACCTAATATTTCTAATATAATGAGTAATATTAGGAAATTAGCAATAACCTGGTGCTAGCCTCGGCGCAGACGCGGGCAGAGCCAGGTGACAGGGGAGGGATGTGCATGGCTCCCGAGGCTCAGGCCTGCGCGTCACCGCTCGCCCGTGGCACCTCATTCTGGGAGCCTTTGCTTTCATCTCCCTTTCTTAATTTTGAAATGATTCAATTTATATGCAATTTTCTGTCAAAAATGATTCCCACCGGCGCAGCGGCGTCGCCGGCCTTGAGTGACAGGCTGGGCGCTCCGGCTGCTCTCTGCGGATTGCCTCTCCCTGCAAATAACCATTTAAAATGAACGCCTGACATTTGAGGAATTTGCCATCAGAAACAGGCGTGGATGGCTGCTGTGGGAGACAGACTTAAGGGATCGGTGGCCAAGCCGCTGTGATAAATCCACCGAGCCTCGAAACAAATGCTCCCATCTCGGCATTTTGAAATTTCAATTTTGTTTCTGCCCCCCCTTCCCCTGGAGAAGTTTTTTAAGGATGTTCGCGGTGCAAAAATCAGATTAAAAAGGCAGACAGGCCAGAGAACCAAGCACATTATGAACCCGTTTCCTGAGGATGCCCAGGAGGTCCTCCCAAATCCACAGGTCCTCCCAAATCCACAGGGCTGTGCCTACATTGTACCCTGGCCGGGTAGTCCCAAGCCCACCAGCACAGCCCTGGCCCCCATCAGTAGCATCCCCGCTACCTCATTCTGGAAAATCAGGGACTTCTGGAAAATCTGGAGAGTGGAAACTGCTTTTCATAGAATCACAGAATGGTTAGATTTGGAAGGCACCTCAAAGATCATCGAGTTCCAACCCCCCCACCCTGGGCAGGGACACCTCCCACCAGACCAGGTTGCTCAAAGCCCCATCCAGCCTGGCCTTGAACACCTCCAGGGATGGGGCATCCACAGCTTCTCTGGGCAGCCTGTTCCAGTGTCTCACCACCCTCACAGTAAAGAACTTCTTTCTGGTATCTAATCTAAATCTCCTCTCTTGCAATTACTCCTTGTCCTGTCACTACACTTCCTGACGAAGAGAAATACCTGTTGCAGAAGGATGGAGATAGGCTGATATTATTTTTTTCCCAAAAAATAATTCTTCTTATCCCTTTCTGTCCCAGTGGACCTGCATTCACTTCTCCCTTGGGAGCAATGCATTCATTTCTCCCTTGGGAGCAACAGGCAGCAGAGAGGGGACAGATTTCAAGAGCTGACAAGGAACAGAAAGCTGGTCTGCCTTTAAGAAAGTAAAGTTGAAGGCTTTTATTCTCCCTTTTAGAAAAGTGTGAGGCTCTAACAGGTTTGAGGGACTATGAATATGACTTTCCACATACGCCAAGACAATTATAAGCTTGAATGGATTTCTGAGACCCAAACCCTACCCAGATAAATTACTGGCTATCAACCACTGATTACAAATGAGCTGCTTAGAGAGCCTTCAAATTTTTCTTCTCCCTACCCCGCTATCTCTTACATCTGTTGGTAATAGCCCTCGACACTGCAGTAAGGAGTAGTTATAGAAGAGACCCTGATCCTTCAGCCTTCCTTTGCAGCAGCTGTGAAAGAGATAGGAAATTAAGGCTATAGGGATCAAGCTGAACTGTGAGAGAGCTGGACTCCTGCTCAGCAGCCTCAGGCTGGGACCCAGAAGATGCTGAGAAGCAGATGAGCTGTGAAAATTGAGTTTCGAGTCTGGTTTCGAAGCAGGACAGGTACCCACGCCCCACTTCCCCAGCCACCATCCCTAAAGGGGACACGCCCACAGTCCCTAATGTAAAGAAAATGCCAGATGTGGGTGATTTCTTTCAATGCGTTGTGTGTGGGAACAGACTCTTGGATCTCAGGTTTTCCTCATTGTTCACATATGGAAAAGGTCCACACGTGGAAATAAGCCCACCCAGGTCACTTACAGAACCCACTGAATTTTCATAAATACATTGAAGAAGCTGCACACCCCCAATCCAATAATTAGAGTAAATTAATGCTGCTTGGAATGCTTTTGTCACTGTTTTTCTGACTCAAGACAAAAGGCAGGAGGTCACATCCTGAAGAGAGACAGATCCTTTAGAAGCAGTGTTTAAGATGCCAGAGAAAACAGCAACATCTGCAGAGGAATCACACGTTCCCTGAGCGTGCAGGCTTTATGCCTCCCACAAATACCTATTGTATCCTCCTTGCTATCATGACTCAAACACAAATATCTGGAGGAAGGGACACAGAGTTAATAAGTCCTTCAGAGGTGACTACTCATTCCTCCAGCTTACAGTTTGGGTAAACAGCAGAAGCTCTGGATCACTTGTCAGACCACAGCATTGTTTGTGCTGTGGAGATTCAAATGAGTTAGGGCTTTCTTTTCACTTTTTAATTTCTCAGGGTTATTTTATCTTCAGCTAGAAATAATTCTTACCACCCATGTCCAAGACATTTACTGCGTTATTAGAGAAGCAACCATTTCCTAGCCTGCTCTGCCAAGAAAAGGCAGCTTTTGTGATCACTCTGTAGGGCCGAGGGTCTATCAGCCTCAATACTTCACCAGCTTCTGCAAACAACTGAATTTCAGTCTCGTGTGAGAGCAGACAGTAGCTGAGAGCCCACCTGTGTCATGACACCCTGAGCCCATGGAGAAGGCAAACCCACCGGGGCGGCACGACATGGGTGCCCCATAGGACACCCATCCCCCCTGGGTTCCCTTGGTCCCAGCAGCTGCTATAGCACCTTGAACTTCAATGCTGAGCTTCTACCTTGATACCTCCGTCCTCTTCAGAATATGTCCTTCCCAAAGCAGAGACCCCAACCTCTCTCAATGCAAGCGTTATTTTTTCTTCCACTCTGTGGATAAAAAGCCTTCTAGATACAAAGCCCAGCAGTCGGATGAATCAGAAACGCCATTTTCTTGGACTCTGACCATATAAAACAAGGGATTTAGATGTCTCTGTATTATTTACTATCCCCCTAATCCTACACCATCTGCAAACTTTACCAGCAAATAAATGTGTGTGTGTGTCTGTGTATCCTTAGCTAGATCATTGTTTAAAAATACTGGATGTTGGATGAAGAACAATTCCACCCCCCCAGTGTAAAAAAGCTTTAGCACCAATGTCTCATTTTGAGATCTGTTGTTGAGACAGTTTCTCATCTAATATGTAAAGCAGTCCCTCTAAGTGATACCATTTTCAAAATCAAAATGACATATGGTGCTGCACCCGTTGCCTTGGAGACACCCAAATGTCCCCTGCCAGCACAGATGCTGTGGTCTCCTTGGGAAGGTAATGAGTTTGCCTGACCATGAAACCACGTTAGCTGGCAATCGTCACACTCTTCACTCCTCGCTTCCTTCTTGACAAGGACTTTGTTTAGCCACCCACCCGTGCTACCTCA